TGAATCCAACATAGAATTTCTGGGTTGGAAGTGACTGACACAATGTTTCCCCCTTTGTGTGTGTTCCATTTCTACTTTTGAATGTATATTTTCAAAATGAGCTGTAGGTACTGATTCATTAAAAATTCCAGGTGGAAATTACAATAAGGCAAGGTAATTTATTGAGTTATTATGTCCTGTTATCACTATATTTTTCCACCTCCACATTCCCCTAAGTTACCCAGATCTTTCTCCCCTTTATCTGGCAAGAGGCTTGTGTTTGCAGGGCTCAAAGCATTAATTCACTGCAGATTCCTTCTCATCTTTTGTGTTTTGAAAACTAGATTGCAAGGATTAGAGGATAATGATGGGATAAAGAGGAAGAAGAATATTTTTGACCGGGGTAAGGATGAGCAAAAATAAGAGAGGCAATGCTAGGAGTCCTCATGAATAAGCATGATGGGAGCACTGGGTCCTGAGGAGAGTGGAGACCCATTTCCTGTCCCTGACAGTACCACATTACACAGCAGGATTTTAGGTGTGGGCTCCATTTGGGGAAGTTGGACCTACTGTGTGGAATTACTGACTCCAAAACATTCCCACACTTGGGATAAAAGCAATAGAGATGATTAACCTCAAAGCTTCAACAAGGAGTGTATCAGTGGCTACACTGATAGACTAAAGGCTACAGGGCTGCCTTCAGTTGCCAGATTTTTGTACAACACCAGAAGGGGAGTTTCCCCAATAATCAAATGACTGAAATTTTATTTTTTATGAGCTCCAAGTCAGATCCAATCATATGTGTATATATGATTTTTTCTGTCTCAATTATACACTGATTCATAACTGATAAAAGTGTAATCTAACCTATCTAATAAAAGAGAAACATGGTAATTACCCATAACTTCGCTACCCTTCCCATTGGCTAATCAGGGCGATATGCAAATGAACTCCAACCAAGATGGTGACCAGCAGCCAGGCAACTGACATGAACAGGAGGCTTGCTTGCTCCAGTGACAGAGGAAGCCAAGGTTCCCTGCCTGCCACTACCCAGCTCTGCGCCACTCAGAGCAACAAAGTTTCAAATATAGAAGGTAAAATCTCAGAATAAAAAGAAAAAAAGGAGAGGCGTGGAGCTTCCATTGTCGGGGGGCTTGGCCAGCCTGAAACCGGTCCTCAGCCCCTCACCCTGGCTGGCCAGGCACCCCAGTGGGGACCCCCACCCTGACCCAGGACACCCTTCAGGGCAAACCAGCCAGTCCCCACCCATGCACCAGGCCTCTATCCTATATAGTAAAAGGGTAATATGCCTCCCAGCACTGGGATCAGTGGAGCAGCGAGGCCTCCCAGCACCAGGATCAGCAGAGCCGTGAGGCCTCCCAGCACCGGGATCAGTGGAGCCAAAAGGCCTCCCCAACCCGGGATCAGCAGAGCTGCGAGGCCTCACTGCCCCTGTGTCAAGCAGAGCCATGAGGCCTCCCAGCACTGGAATCAGCAGAGCCATGAGGCCTCCCAGCACCAGGATCAGCAGAGCAGTGAGGCCTCCTAGCACTGAGATCAGCAGAGCTACGAGACCTCCTGGCCCATGGAGCAGAGTGACAGGGGGCAGCACCCAAACCCCCTGGTCGCCCTGCGGCTCTGTGTGTGACAGGGGTTGGGGCCACAACCTCCCTCTCCGCCCTGCTCTGTTCATGACAGGGGAAGGTGCCCCAACCCCCTGATCACCCCTGCTCTGTGCCTGTTAGGGGTGAGCTTCCCAACCCCCTGATCAGCCCTGCTCTGTGCGTGACAGGGGGTGGTGCTTCAACCTCCCTATCGATCCTGCCTTGAGTGTGGCAGGGGGTGGCGTCCCAACCCCCCAATCGGCCCTACCCTGAGTGTGATTGAGGGTGGCATCACAACCTCCTAATCCCCCCTGCTCTGTGCATGACAGGGGGGCAGTGCCCCAACTCCCCAATCGGCCCTGCTCTGAGCCCAACCAGGGGCTGCACCTAGGGATTGGGCCTGCCCTCTGCCACCTGGGAGCAGGCCTAAGCCAGCAGGTCGTTATCTCCCGAGGGGTCCCAGACTGTGAGAGGGCACAAGTGGGGCTGAGGGAAACCCCCCGCCCCCCACCAGTGCACAAATTTTTGTGCACTGGGCCTCTAGTATATATACATAAGGCTAATATGCAAAGTGTCCCCTCAGGAGTTCAACTGGGAGATCAGGGGTTCTATTGCTCACTATGACATGCACTAACCACCAGGGGATGGTGCAGAACAAAGGAAGGCCCCAGACAGCAGCCAGAATGCCCCAACCTGCCCTGAATGCTGGCCAGGCCTAGGGACCTTACCCATGCACAAATTTCGTGCACTGGGCCTCTAGTATGTCAATATGGTTGCATATGAGCAGAAATGAGTATGTTAGTTACACATACAGAAAGTTCCAAACTTTTACCTCCACAATTCCCAATTTCTTGCAAGACTGAGTGAGAGCTATGCCGTGTCTTCAAATCAAATGTAGATAACAAAAATATTATTGCAGTTGATTTTTTTCATTTTAAAAAAATGATAGGTTGCTTTTGAAAGTCACAAGTGAAGTCGCTATACTATAATTTTTTTTTAAAGGAGTAGAGTTGAAGTGAAATCATACACTGCTTGCTTATTTTATCAACTACCTAGTGAAAGGAGCCCTAAACTGAAATTCAGCACCCCTTTATTATCTATTGAGGAAGTTAAGCCCATTCTTTTACAAAAGACTGTGTGACAGCATTGTATAATAAGTAGCAAATCATTATCATTTCCTCTGCTATTCATTGAAGGAATGTTACTCATAATTAATGTGCATGTAATGTACAATTTCATAGGAGTGAGGCCATACTTAGCCTGAATTATAAGACTTCAGATTCCTTCAGCTATTAAAATGCTTAGCAATTCTCTTTAAGCTCCAGTTTTCAAAGACCCACTTGGCCATTCCCTAACTTTAAAGATGAGTCTGCGATATATGCTGGAGCTTTCAATCAGTAAGAGATAAAAGGAAATGCAAATTGTTTTTTCCTAATCTCTGTGCTATATCCCTGCATTAGAAAAATGCCGCATAGCTTTCCTAGTCAGGCACAAGTCAGTAACTCGGAGAGAAAGAGACAACATTAACTCTGAAAATACCCTCCTCACGGACTGGAAAGGAGTAAGGAAAACACCCTTGGTCTTCATGAAGCAACGTCTGTACCAAAAGCGTCTCTGCAGCGAACAGGTTGTTTAAAATCCCGATGTCAGAATTATATTCTACAGTTGCCTATTTTGGTGCCTAAAATGTGCTGCTCTAGTATAGATTGACAACTACGAGTATTATTAAATACTACTGTTTCCTTAGCGGGAGATTTAAGACAGAGTTCAAATACATAAGTTCTGTCTACCGAAAGCAGTGCTATCACCTTTATTTTTGGAACAAACCGTATCACAGTCCGTTGTGATTCAGACGCTTCAGTCAGATTGTTTTCTACAGTTGACAGTGCAAGAACAGTGCTTGAGACAGATGCTCGTGTCCCGCGGCATGATGGGCTGTGTCAGTAAGGCAGGAGCCCTGTCACAGCATATTACCATGTCTGTGATATGTCTTACTGACAACATCACGGCCTTTGATTTACGTGGACTGGACTTAAAATAAATGAGTGGAATATTCCCCAAGGCACATAATCAATCGCATCTGTTGCAATCCTGGTATTTCCTTTGCCCTGTTTATACCATTACTGCCTCTACTGAAGCAGTATTATCGTTAAGTGTTTCCATGAATATCTCCTGGCACCGGCTCAGAGCACCGCTGCTACACTACAAACACTTCGAGCCTCGAAGGACCGCAGCAGAATTCGCATTGCTCCAATACTGCATTGATTGTGATAAATGTGACGAGGGAAAAGAATATACATTTCTTATTGCATTTCTTTGTAGTATCTTTGTGTTTGATGAAATAACAGCAAACTGTTGTGGAGACGAAAACATCTGTTAACAATGGTGAGGTAATCTTGCTGTACTGCAAAATAATGTAAAAATAAATTACTGGGTGTTTCTGAACAACATTCTCTGAAGTCTATAAAAATTGGAAGCATTTGACTTCGTTGCTGTAAGATTAGGAAATATCAGACAGGAAAATGTGCTTTGCATTTAAAAACAACATATGGTAGAATCGGACAATATTTGTGAAAGAAAAAGTATTTCTAGAAAATGACTGTTTCTATGTATACATAGTTTAATCAGTTTACCCTACTGATAGGCTCTCCTAATTTATATCCCCTATATCTAGTTTTTGTATCCAAATGGACAAAAAAGTTCATGCAGAAAGCAAGAGGGGTTAATGTCAAACGGATAAACAAAGATGAAAGGAAAGCTATTATTCTGTAAAACTAAACAATGGAAATGAAACCTATAAACTTCCTAAGTTTCCTGGATGTTTGCTTTAATTTAAAAATAGCACAATACGCCTTATTATATGTTTTAGTTGATACAATGGTTCATAAAGAAAGACATGGTTTCAAAAGAAAATATTTTTCCTAATTAAATGAGTCATTATGCAAACCTATATAAGATTTTTCTAGTAGAAATGAAAGAAACCTGGTAATGAAATGATTTCATTCTGTACAATCTAAATATTATTTTTTATTAAACTTTATATAGAAATAAGATTTTGCTTTTCATGTTGGAAAATATATTAAAGATTATTGCTCTACAGATTGTAAAATATATCCAGTAGCTTGTGTTAAATTTAATATGCCTTTGCAAATACTTACTAAGAAGTTGTGGTTATAATGTTTTTTTAAAAATAAAAGAAAAACTTCTATTGTAAATGAATATTAATTTTTATCCTGAGTTTGAATGTCATGAACGCAATTAAATATCTTTATAAATTTCTGATAGCATTTTAAATAAAAAATTATCTATGTCAACCGGCTTGAATTATCATTATTAATAGCTTGTATTAGCAATATTTAAAACTGCACCTAATAGTCACAAAAATATTCAGATATTTAACATTTAAATTATTATACAATGCAAGTAAATTGTTTTTATTAAAAAAAAAAACCACAGAGGTTTTCACTTCTTGTTTTACCTTTTCGTGTTCTAATCACAAATGCAAACAAATATTAGTAGAAATATATATCATTACAACTGACAAACTAATAGATCCATTAAAAGAAAAATGGATTTAAATACATAAACATATATGTGAATAATGCATTAGTGGTTATTTATGCTAAGGGCAAAACTCTGACTTACTAATGTCAAATTTGGCTGAAATGATTGTGTAAAGTTTTATTATTACTCAGCTTCACATTTTACCCAAAGGCACAACAGAGTCATGTAGGGCAGAGGTGGGAAGAGTAGCACTGGAAGACCTGGTAATACAATAGCCCTAGCGATCTTATTAACTGACTAGCAAACTTTAGTCAGCGCTACACATTCCCCCTCAGAGTAAGTGCTGAAATCCTTACAATGACCTACAATATCCTACATGATCTGACTCCTGTAGTTCTCTGACCTTCTGCCCTATCCATACTCCTGCTTTTCCTACTCCAGTCCCAGTGCAAAGCAATCCTAGAAGTTCTAAGCACTAGCGAAGTATAGCTCCCCCTCGGGACTTCACACTTGATCTTCCCTCTGCCTGGAACATTCTTGCCATAGATGCCACTGTCACTCAAATCTTCATCTCCCTCAAGTCTTTGCTGAAGAGATTTTCTCAGTGAGACCATCCAATTTCACTAGCACCTCACTAATTGCTCCTGCGCATGCCCTAGCCTCCTCTGCTGCTTATTTCTTGCTAATACCCTGTATATCTTCTAAAGATATACAGATACACTAGAGTTCCCTTAGTCTTCAATTTATTTTCTGATTTCCCCACCAGCTTTTTAGATTGGGGATCGGTGCGGAGTAGTGGGAGGGGAGCATCTGTTTTTTTACACTCTCATGTCCTCAGCACATTTGGCACAGAGACATTGAAAAAATATATCCCATAGAATGTTGAATTGGGGAGATTGTGACATAAAAATCAAATTTGAGAATCAAAAATCATTCTATTTTCTTGCTTGATAAACACACCAAAAGATTGTTTCTTATGAAACAAATTCCTGAAGATACATGTAGTATATTGATTACTCCTTTACTGTCACTTCCAAGATGGCCAAATCTTGAGACCAAGTTGCTTTGATTTTAAATAATGAAAGTACTGTACAACAAAGGCTGGGCTGTGAAGTTCTATGAATTTACCCTTTATCCCATCACTGACAGAAACAGAGAATCCTCCCAGCTGC